GGCGAAGGAACGCTGTTCGGTGCAGTTATTATTATTATTATTATTATTATTATAAATTGTGAGTGGACTTTCTGCTTTATATAGGTTCTTTGATTTCATAGTAAGCCTTTGTAACAAGACAAATTGTTTGAGGAGAGATTGGTTTATCTTTAAATAGTTGAAGAATTTCGTTTGTAAAGATATTCAAAATCCGACTTTACTTGATTATTAAATACATCTGGCCAAATTTTGGTTTATATTGATCGGTGTGAAACTTAGACTTACGAGAAAGAAGCCCTAAAATTATATTCTTTTAATTTGAAAGCTATAAGTAAATTTGAATTTTACAACTAGAAAAATATTTAACGATGCAGAAATGTGTAATTTTTTATTCACTTTCAAGCATTTTTCCTATATTTTTTAATTTGGCTGACAATTTGATCAAAACCAAAAAGTGTATCGTTACACCCCATCTTCCCTTCTTAAATGAACTTTATGATGTTAACTTGTTTATTAAATTTATGATTAAATTCGTCTTTTCGAAATATTAAATTGAATCTTAGAGATTATGTTTATTATCTCATTGGGTCACTACATCGAATACTTGACGTATGCTCTATCTGATTAAGTATTACTTTTTCACATTTAAGGTATCAATTCAAATTTGTCTATATTTATTTGTCTTCTTAAAATCTTGAGATTTTATTTTGGAGCTTTGTTTAATTTTTAAAGTTGTTTGAACATTTGAAGATAGTTATGATGCGCCCACATATTGTTCAAATGAGTTTGAATAATGAGAGAAAATGCGTCAAATATTGACTCCTTGATTTCATTGAAAATGTCTTGCCAATTTTCGTTTAAAAATCGATTTGTACCTAAATGTATAAAGAAATTATTCAATTATATTTTTAGAGTATTTAATAAAGAATTCGTTGACATACCTTCACCTAAGGCTGGATTACCTCCGAATAAATTTCCGAAATAAGCCTGCATTCTATTTAATATAAAAATCATAAATAATATTTCATTGTTTAGTCATTTGTATAGTCTTTTTATTTCATTACCTTGTAATCTTAAAAGTCATCTTCAGGTCATCTGTATATAAATGTGTTTTTCCATTCTTTTTCTTCGTTTTTCCAGTCCAAATAACGTGCAATTCCGGGTTTAAAAGTGTAAAATTAGAAACACCTGAAAGAAATGTACGAATAGTGTATTCGTTGTATGATAGAATTTCAGCACCATACAAGCAGGAAATTGAATGTCATTATAAACAGATTAGAAAAATATAAATCAAAAACATTTTTATCATTGTGCAATATGAGAAATTATACATAATATTCAAATTTCTAAAAAATGTCTTGTTTAAGTTATTTATTTATCTAAATAAACCATTTATTATTATTATTATTATTATTATTACCTCGACCTTGAATGGGAAGCACTAAAATTTCAAAAATGTATCAGAAAAAAATAATTTAATGAAAATATCTGAAATACCTATTAAATATTTAATAAATTAAAATTGTGAATGTTTCAATTACCTAATATTTGACCCTTGATATTATAGGGTCCCTTCAAAATGAAATATGGGCCTCTTAATTTCATTTCATACTGACCCCTTGGATCTTCGCCAAAACCTCTGTATTATGTGAAGAAATAAATACATGTCTAAAACATTCTATTGTCTATAAACATAAATAATTCAAAACTTACTTAACGGAATAGCACACAAAATTTTTTAATCCATGCAATTCAACGTTTTCGAACGTCAGGTCAATATTAACAGGTGAATTTCCTCCTTGTTTAATTCCCATGCGCTGTAATTTCAAAAAAAATGTAAATAATTACCAAAAAAATCTTAAAATGTGGATTTTTATTGGAAGCTATACCTGTATTTTCAACGGATCCAACTGAGATAGAGCTACATTGGGTTCACCTGCACAATTCAATTCCAATTACAAATAAATACTGATTTAAATTAATACATTATAAATTTAAGACAACAATTTCAAAATCACTCTATATGCTCAAGCCTTTAAAAACAATTTCAAGTTATAAAAAACATTATATATATATACCTCCGTAGAATTGTGACAAAACAAGATTTGTTATTTCTTTTATGCAATTTGTGTCTCCCACATGGCACTGTGGAATCTTTGATGATTCTGTTTTTTGTATAAAAAATTTGCAGAAATTTAAAAAAAAATTACGCTTTTTTAAAAAGTTATTTTGATAATTTAAGTTTGATAATTTTCAGGGATGGGATTTTTTTTTCTAATTGATTTCGTTGTGAGAAGTTTTTTGATGTTCACGCATTGCATGTTCAGATATGTCGGCTTATATATGAAGAAACACTGAAAAACCGATGTGTTAAATTATAATCACAAATATTTAGAAAAAAAGTTATCAGTTAATAATAAAACAATAATTAATTTTCACCGCTTCCAATGATTCAAACCTATAAACCTATAGAATTCACTATTTTGCATCAACATGACATAAAATACATCCAAATGTGTTTTGAAATTTAGGTTTAAATTTTCGGATTTTGACAAATATTAATATCATAGGATTTTTGGAAGAAATGAATTTGTAAAGAATTAAGAAATATGTGATAATTACCAAATAAAAAAATATCAAAAATTTAATTTTTATTGTTGAATGTTATAAATAATCTTACGGAATTTCGAGCACCAACTAATTTGACTAAATGCCAATATAAAAAATATTTTCAACATTTTTAGTTAATAATATCACGTTCTAAGAAAAATTTGCGCTCTGCTTGTCTATTCGCTCAGCTTCAGACTAATCACCGAAACGAATCGTTGAAATTTATATGTTGTCATTTTTAAAGTTTTTTTTAGTTTAGTGTTTAAGTTCAATATTATAAAGATTTTTGTTCTTTCGTGCCTACGAAACACAAACTGGATAAATGATGTCATTGTGGGGCGGACGTGACTATACAGGTATATTAAATGATAACAACTTTTTAAAACAACAACTCAAGCTTAGATATATTTTGGTCGTTATTCTTGGTAACAAATTCATATTGCAGTTAATGTTTTGCCACTGATATATTACCACAGCGTTGAAGAAGAATTGATTGTACAACTTTCTGACTCTTAACCCGAGAATAACTAGAAATAAATTACTTACTATTGAATTCAATTATTCTGGAATCATAAAAATAAGCAAGTAATGGGAATCACCTGCGGTCAATTACAATCTTCATTGAAAAATACAAAAAGTGGAATATTTCGAGATGGACCTTTTGAACAAAGAGACAATAATCATGAAACCAGTATTTACATTGTGGTAACGTGATTTCAATGTTTAGATTTTTTATTCTTACGTACAAACGTTAAAAACAGTCGAATAAATTAGATAACTTGTTTTCTTAATTTGACGTGAATAATCTGACTGAATATCATTTCAGAAACCAGAAAGAGAAAGCAACTACCTAGAATTGATCAGAAGAAAAGAATGAAAAAAATGGAACAGAATGGAAAATGAAATTAAAAAAAGAAATCAACTACCCTTTTAGTATTGTTTTGATTTTTCTATTTATTAGAATGATTAAGCAAATTTGTCGCTAAAGTTCATTTTTAATAAAAGACAAGATTTTTTTTTT